GGTGGATCCTGCTCTAGCTGCCTGGATAGACTGAATAACGCTGTCAGACAATCCACCCTGTCTCAGCCTGTCCCTCTCAGGAGCCAAGCCTGGAGTGGACGGCCCAGAGTGGGTAACGCCCCGATTGCACCTGCCTCTTGAGACATCGCCCCCCAGAACTGGGGAATCGCCCAGGGCTGGCCCACCTTCATCTGTGTCATCTCTGAGTACCACGGAGCCCCGACGCGATCCGGCACTATTTCCCACACACACACATCACTCTAGAACTAGAGTTTACAACCGTAAACCACTGTTCCCCTGCGTAGGTCCCTGAACGCACCGCGGCCACTCTCACGAAGGTTGAGCGCCCACGTATTAACGCTGTATTTACTATTCAACGGTGTAATGCATTAATCGGAGCTATTATACCAGGCAAGGTGTGTTTTCTGACAAAAGCACGCCGGCAATAGTGTCTCTTGAACCCGCACAGTGCTTTGACAGCACACGGTTTATTCCACTCACGTGCACATGCCCACCTGCTGGCTCCCTATACTGGGGTTTACAGCGGTAGGACAGTGTTTCTTCCGCCGGGGATGAGGCAAGACATGCAGGCAGCGGCGGCGGCCTGTGATGAAGTAGGGTCGACCCTATATCATGTGAAGCCACCGAGCACCGGTCCCCGGGGGAACCGGGCCTGGAGCAAGGCCCGTGGACCAAGCTACTTATTCGGCCTTGCGGCTCAATAATCGCTCTGACCTGGTGAGGCGGGGGCATCTCTAGCAATGAGCGAGTAGCCCACACACCCGCCGCCATGATCATCATCCAGGGAGAGTACAGCCCTGGGCGGTGGACTTCCATGGACGCCGGACTCGGAAGGAATGGCGAACGTGAAATGGCACCGCCTCGGCCATATCCTGGTCCCCCAAACACTCTAAGCAGAGGTGGTGGGGATCGGCGCCCGCTATTTAAGCCAGGGCATGATTTCAAAAAATACTCATTTTCTTTCTTTGTCTTTCTTCGTTTCTCTCCAAAAATACCTCTCGGACTCAGTGCTAGGCTATCACCCCCGCTCGCTGAAGAGTAAAGGATAATGGTCAGGAGGCGGGGCCTCCTTTTATACGGAAGTGAGATGCGCACGCATTCAGGTAGGCCCACCCCGGGGCCGGCTACGTCTATAGAAATCTCAGTAGGTGAATGCTTGCATGATAAGGTAGTACCCATAGAGGGCGGAGCCTGTTAGAGATATAACTATGGTTTCCTCAGTCATCTTCACAGACAGGTAGACATATCACTGCTTTACACGCTGTCATAAAAACCTGATTTAAAGGAACTGACCATACCATAATGAAGCCTCCCCCTCCTCACTTTTTCTACTTTCTCCCTGTTGCTCCTCTCTCTGCAGGATCCAGAGCCCCTCCCTTACCTGCAGCACCCGGACCCCTTCACCTTCAACATTAACCTGTCTGTGTCACTTAAAGGTACAGTACGCAGAGTGTTTCATTCTTCTAATGTCTGGAGCTTTGCATTTTGGTCTTCGCAACTTCTTTCCTCGGAGCGACCTGTCACTGGTAGGTAGACATGTAGTTTCATTGTAAGGAAATGTCATTTTTTGGCTGGAGAAAAAGTACAATAGCCGCGTTCACACCGCGTACTTTGCAGTACTTAGTTCCGGCACTTAGTGCCCCGGCACTTATTACCCCAGGGCACTAAGTAACAATCGCGTTCACACAGAGTACTTTTCCCTGAGGGAAGATTACGCAAATGAGACGCTGATGCCACTTCGTCTGCTTTGGGTTTACTGGCAGGCTGCAAACAACTTCACGGTGTATACTGCCACCCGGATTCCCCGGCCGGAAGTCCCCAGAGTTGGGGACTGGCTTCAGCAGAAGTAAATCACCAGAACGTCGACACCTCCTCATCACTCCACCGCTCCCATGTTTTTTTTCGTGTTGCCATAAGTTATTCTTTCTCCGTTGGTGCGTGGGGCTAATGCTAATAATGCTAATGCCACAAATACAATGGCGGCTTCCCAAAACTTTTCAGAGTTTTACGGGGCGTGGTTTGCAATTCGCCCAGCCAATCAGAACTGGGGCACTTTTTCCCCTCAGGATAGTACCACCTCTCAGCAGGCACTAAAAATGGGGCTAAAAGTTCCCGGCACTTAGTACTCTTCTTGGTGTGAACGCAACATAAGGGGTACTAACGGAAAAAAAGGGGAAAAGTACGGGGAAAAGTACAGGGAAAAGTACTCCGGTGTGAACGCGGCTAATATGAGGTAGAAGAAAAGTACCTCAAGATGTAAATGTACCAAGGTACTTTCTGCCATGGCGAAATAAAACTACTGTGGTCATGTCAAGTCCTAATTTCACTTTTGCTCTAAATCTAAGACATACTTTATTAATCCCACAAGGGGAAATTCAGCTTTCACTCCATTGTTACTGTTCATACAGAACACCTGAAATACGCACATGCAAAGGACCTATAGGCCTACTTATTCGGCTGGAAATGCACAAACACGCGTTAATGGAGAGGTGTCCCAGAAAATATAACCTTCTGTTATATGTGATAAAGTGGATGTCTCCTTTAAAATAAGTTTGCTCTTATAGGACAGGAAATGGCAGATGCAGCAACCATCTGCAAGACAAACTTTAAGGTAAGAGGATCCATAACAACAATCTCTGCTAAAGTCCCAAACTAATATTTTCAGGACTGGGTAAAATGGGGCCATGCCTAGCTTAACTCCTGGTTAATAAGTAACAACACCTCTACACAACCAACAGCTTTCAAATAACTGTTGCAGTTTTAGCTAAACGTTTGTTCTCACGCTCTGCCTCTCTTTGCTCATATTTCCTCTCTGTCTCTAGTACATGTACTGGACCATGAAGCAGCAGCTCACCCATCACACAGTGAACGGGTGCAACGTGAGACCAGGGGACCTGCTGGCCTCGGGGACCATCAGTGGACCTGTGAGTGTACCTTAACACTAGACTAGATTCTCTTTAAACGGTGTATCTTTTTATGTGAACTGTGGATTTTAGGGATCTCTAGTTTACCCTCAAACGCATACATGTGTATTCTGAGGTTTGCACAATTTATCTAATTGATTTTATTTATTGTCGTTTCAGTCTCTTTTAACCTCTTACCTCCACCTCTTGTATTGAATATGTCAACATATAGTTTTGACCAGGTGGCACAAAGAATAAATGAGCTATTTTTCAAACCTGACTTGTGTTGGATGATGTGTTATTGTCCCAGATGCCTCTCAGCCTTGTGTTGTACATGTGCAGTTAGCATACAGAGCTCATTCTATGTTTTCTGTGTTCCATCAGGATCCAGAGAGCTTTGGCTCCATGCTGGAGCTGTCATGGAGGGGCTCTAAGAACATTGATCTGGGGGGAGGAGAAACCAGAACTTTCCTGAGGGATGGAGATCAAGTCACCATCAAAGGTCAGACTCAGCCTTCAGCACGGATAACAAGTGGTGGTTATCATTTAAAAAACGTTATTATCAATAAGGAAAACAACAAAAATACCATAATTTATTTAATTATTGATATATTCAGCTCTCAGCTGATAATGTCAAGCTTCCACTGCGATGCACGGCCTTTAAGGTTTCTGCATTTACAGCAGTCCTCTTCAATTACATTTTTTACAAGTCAGCATTTACTTGTATTCAGCAAGAAGTGCATCTTTTTGTTGAGCATGTAATTTACCATCCCTGTCGTCTCCTTCTTGTCACTTTTCTAATCTTCAAATAAGATATTTTATTCCCCAAAATACTAACTTTCTGGTAAATTGTGTTTTTTTTTTCTACAGCTCACATACAAAACATGTTCTGTCCTTTTAATGCAAACCACAGTTCCTGGTGTTCCGAGTGTATTCCATCTCCATGCCCCTGTCATCAATCAAACAACCCCCCCCC